CAGATTTCTGCCTTTCTCCCATCATTCATTGGTTTCATTGGAGTTGCACTGATACGGCGTTCAGAAATGCTTCTGATACTACCTAAAATGTGCTAACAGATCATCAACCATGTAATACAAGTCAGTGCAATGATGTGGTACTATAATATACTTCCTCCCCAAGAAATCAACTGTTACTTCTTCTCTAAAATAGTAGCCTATGAACTACCGTCAAAGCAAGAGATGTCTGCTTTCATCACTGTTATCGGTGAGTATTTGCCCAACAAACAAAGACATTTTTTAGCCAATACCCAAGTCAGGATATCCAGTTTGCAGAGCGAAGGACAGTTTAGCTGAATCTCTGTAACCACTTCTATTGTTTTAGAGCTACAAGACAGAGAGGGTAACACAAAACCAGCTAGCCAACAACATTTTTTCCAAGCTCACATTTAAAAGCTTTTTTTGTTTGTGTAAAGTTTAGATATTTTTAACTGGTAAAACACAAAATAAAGACATTTCATGTGAAAAAAAAAAAATCAGGTTAATGTTAGCTTAGCTTGGGTGCTTAGCTTGTTTTTTTATTTTGCATTCCTTTATTGTATAAGTCATTCAGCAATGATTGCAATGATATGACATCAACGCAGGGTTACAAGTCTAGACTCAAGCTGTTCAATAACAATAATCTGGATGCTTTTTAATTGCAATAGTAGAAAAGGGTTCTCTACATTGGCAGATACTCGAGTCTAGATAGTGGAAACCTGATAGGAAAGGAAAAATGGTATTGGAACATTTCTTATTTCTTTAAAAATCTAAGCTTCTCACATGTTAAGCAATTTAGCAACCGAGTGTGTGGTCTGTGAATCAGAACATGTATATGAGGTGTTTGTGAAGTGTTAAATGAACAAATGTGGATGCCAGCCTTTTTCCTCTCTGTGATTGTAGAGTGTGTCCATGCATGAGTGCACACATCCATAATGAGACTCTGATCATTACAAAGCAATTCCTTCAGACAGAAATCCCTTAAACAGCCTCGGTTTTGGGCTTCATGCGATCCCCCCTTCTGTCTCCTCTCTCCCCAACAGCCACCAACCGCTGCAGCTGCCAAAAATAACACAGGAGCGCCACTCGAACCCGCGCCTCACCACAGCACAGCCCGGCCGCATGAGAGGGATCAAAACACACACAAAAAAGGAAACACATCATATTGTGGATAGGAGGAGGGGAAAAAGAGCATTCATACAGCTCTGTGCTTGAAGATATCTACTGATGATTTTGGCAACAAAAGAACCACACACACTAATTCACCAGGCCAAGACAGAGGAAAGGAAAGTGGATGTGTGTGTCTGTGTGTGCATACATTTTTGGAGGTAATGAAACTGCTAAGATAGTTTTAACTTCTGATGTCATTCGCTCCTTGTTTAAACCACAAGCTCAATAAAAACACTAAGCTTATCATGTCATTGGTTAATAAATTAAGGCTTTAGCAGAGAAATAAAGGTCCAGTTAAAATTATCACTGAAAGTAATGAGTAGAAGGGGTTTCCTCTGTTTGCACAAAAATCATTATGTTTTTATTGTAAGTTTGGGAGTTCAAACAGAAGACAACTTCATTTATCATTCTCCATTTGTCTTTGCCAGTCCACTTAGTGTTGCACTTGGCAAAATGTGCTTCTCTACACTGACACACCGATGCCAGTGAATGAAGCCGTCAGGGACCAAGCTCTATTTCTATGGTGGCCAGAAGGGGTTTACGAGCAAACCATCGTGAGATTAATTGTTGAACCACAAAAATAAAGGAAATGATGGAGGGGTGGAAAATGGACTGAAATGTTTTATGGAAGTGTGGCGGCATTCATACGAGAGGAACTTGTGGGTCCAAAGGATTTCAAGGGTCTGCACAAGTCCTTGGTGTATATTTATTCCCTGAGGCGAATGGATCCAAACTAAGCGATGAAACTCCAACAATAATAAAAGTTGTCAGCTTGTAGGGATACCATCAATTGCAATATCACCTTTGCCTAGATTAGGAATAAAAGCAACATTTCTAAATCTGTTTCTTCTGCAAATTGATATGTTCAGGTTTTCTGTATGTAGGCTATATACAGTATTGTATGTGCGATAATGAAAACGTTTTTAAACTGTTTAACATGTATTATTATAAATATTCAAAGGTGGCTGACAACATCAGCTAAGGGGCTGTCCATGAAAAAACTGGCCTCTCTGCTCAGTTATTATTCAAGTCTGTTTGATGTTCATTTAGGTTCATTGTTGATTTAAAGGAAAAAGAAGCGTAAATTTGATTCAGATCACGCAGGCTATTTAGTGTTTGTCTAAGCAGATTCTCACTTGCATTTTTTTATTTAATGTATTGTAATTTGTTTGTCATTCACTGTTTGACCTTCAGCTTTCCCAGTATTTTTGTGTATTTTATTTAAAAGATGTTTATCTGTGGTCCTTAAATATATTAACATAGAACATGAAAGTAAGAATAAGGAAAAAAATATCTTAAATATTATCTAATATCTAAAAATGTTACAATACAGAACGTAGAACAAATATGAGACAAATGATAGCCTAAGCCAGGAGCGGGCAACTGGCGGCCCGGGGGCCACGTGCGGCCCTCGTCAACCCTCAATGTGGCCCTCAGGTCAATTTTTACATATCAAAACATGAAGAAAACATGACAAAATCTGCCTTGAAATATGTCCATAATAATATTTGATCACTGGTATATGTTGAGTTAAATTTGAGACATAATTGTCTGTAATCGTTTTGGTATTCTACAATTTGGCCCCCCTGGCAGTGAGAGTTGAATGAATGTGGCCCTTGCTGTGACCAAAGTTGCCCATCCCTGGCCTAAGCTATATAGCAAATAGCTAAAAGCTAGCTTTGCATAGATGGGCAAAATATTGACCAGAATGTGCAAATATTTAATATATGAAGGGGGTTATATGATGAAGTAAGAGAGATGGCAGGTGTCAGCAAAACAGTGAGACCCCCGAGGACTGAGTGTTTTCAAATGACTGACTGTCGCCATCTCCTGGTTTGTTTTAGACATAACAAATTACTGAATACAGGACAAAATGGTCACACTATTCAACTACTCTCTGGGCAGATATTTGCTCGAACACAAAGATTAAAAAAAGAGACAGAAATGAACTATTATTATTATTATTATTATTATTATTATCACGAACTTACTTTTTCTTCCACTTTAGATGGAGCTGTCTGGTTGAAGATTTCAGCTGAGTTAGCTGGTTTGCCAGCTTGCTGAAAGGATGACGTACATTGATAAAATAACAGTTTTAATTTAAATAAATTCAGCCTTAAATTACCCTAATTATTATAACATTTAAAACGTACCGCTTGTCAAATATTTTCTATTTCCAACCCTTCAGAAATACAACTTCCGGTCGAGCTATAGAAGCCGGTCACCTGTTTCTGTTTTGATGAAACAGTCATGAGGTGGATGTTTTTAACATTTAAACTTCGTACCGTGGAGTAGAAACGTAGATAAAACGAGGGTTTTCCGGTTTAAAAGACGAGCTAAACTCCATTTACAGGCTTGGCTTAACACCAAAGGAATTCAAGTTTCGCGGGGCTCCGTCTACGTCATATCTGTGCACCCAGAAGATCACTCCGCTGTGTCCTGTCCTGTGGTCCCGTCGGAGCGAAAGGGGGGCTCTCGTCAAGTCTTCGCCGCCTTAACCAATCCGTCTGGGATAATATTGTCAAATGAAAGAAGGGGCCTGTTTAGGTGGGGGGATTAACCATCTGAAACAGATCGGCTCTGTCTGTGTGAAATAGGGAATGAACGACGAGACAGCATCGGACAGCTGGAAGAGAAACTCCGGGTGCTCCAGGTGAAGCTGCACACAAGCTAAGCTAGCTCACTGTTATGGCTTACAGTATGGTAAAAAAAAAAAAGACCCTTCTATCAAAATATGTTGTAATAAAAGCTGTATTATTCTGACATTTTGTTACTTAGATCTGGCTGGTTTCAAAATAAAATTCCAGTTGTGCCTTTGAAGGAGCTCCAGCTGCCAATTTAAGTTTACTGTCAATAATACTTTCAAAATCTGTTCCTGCTCTTTGTTTACATCTGTGTCGTCACGCTGATCGTGCCAGTTCGTGTAAATTATTTTTTTGTTTTGTCGGGCTCATTTTTAACTAATTTTAAATTGGTTTGCTGTGTTCATTGTTTTTCAGTCGTAGGAAATTAACTTTTAACACTTTGGTGTTTCGGTCTGTTAATAGTGTACACAGTCCACTGTAGAGAGCAAGCACGTCCTTTAAGCAGTAAGATGATTATAGTGTGAAAACCAAGGTCTAACACTTATGTTAGAACTATGTAACTAAAATATGCATAAGAAATGTTACTGTTGTCCAGCCCTCTCCTTTGTTAAATGGTGTGGGCAAAACAATAGACACACAATTTGGTTGATAAGCACCACAACCTGGAGTCCTTTTAAATGTGTTTGCCCCTGATCAGTGCAGTACTGATAGTATGGAGTAGAAAGAGTGTAAAAAAAAAAAAAAAAAAATGTTAACATGTGACAAGAACACATTTTGGATCAAATAATAATGCAAAGGTCTTTATAGTTTTTTAACTGTAGTCTGATATTTTGTAAATTGAACAGCTGATGTACAGTCTCCCTCATGCTCTGCATCTCTTTTATTTAGTATTGAGCAAATGCTGGCTGTGAATCCCGGAAAGACGCCGATCAGTCTGCTGCAGGAGTATGGAACGCGGATAGGCAAGACCCCAGTGTACGACCTGCTGAAGGCCGAGGGACAGGCCCACCAGCCCAACTTCACGTTCCGCGTCTCTGTCGGAGAGATCAGCTGCACCGGCCAAGGGCCCAGCAAGAAGGCGGCCAAGCACAAAGCAGCAGAGGCTGCTCTGAAGATGCTCAAAGGAGGCTTCGGAGGTCCTGCCGGGGTTGGTGTTGGAGTTGACAGATTTATTGGTGTTGACGTGTCTACTGATGAAGATGGGTCAGTTTCACAAAATGTGATTCCAGAGTCAGTAGATGTTTTTCAGATTTAACATCTTAGTATGTTCTGTATATCTGACGGGATGTCAAGTCATTGACCTTCTTTGAGAGAAGAAGCCAGTGTGGTTTCAGTATTTCCTCTTCTGTGTTTGTTTTATCTCATTCTCTGCACAGCTCCCAGTCTGAAATGAAGACCTCAGGCAGTTCTCAGCAGTCCGAATGTAACCCTGTAGGAGCTCTGCAGGTGAATAAACAGACACCCACTGTAGTTTAAGTGTTATAGTTGCATGCATTTTTGCTTTGATAATTACATGTTTGTGTTCCTCTCTGCTAGGAACTGGTGGTGCAGAAAGGATGGCGTTTGCCAGAATACACCGTCACTCAGGAGTCCGGTCCAGCACATCGGAAAGAGTTCACCATGACCTGCAGAGTCGAGAGATTTGTGGAAATTGGTAAAATTAAAATGTTTCATTCTACAATTAACCGGTTTTGTCTCTTGAGACAACAAAATCCACTTTTTAAAAATACATTTATGACATGCTGTATGCAGCCTAACATTTCTCATTCTCAATCTCCTGGATCTCTGCAGGCAGTGGAACCTCCAAGAAGTTAGCCAAGAGAAACGCAGCAGCAAAGATGTTATCACGAATACACGACGTCCCAGTAGACCTGAGGACAAGTAACGAAGCTGAAACAGAAGAAGACACGTTCAACATGGTAAGGAAACAGACGGTTACTATGTCCGGCAGTTGACTAAAACTAAGTACCTTTTGCATCCTTATAGGTGATGCCTTAATATCATTCAAATTATGTATTTTCACCACAATATCCATAGCAATGTCATCAATCTTTCTGGCAGATAATACTGTTTTTAATGGCACCCTACTTCTTATTCGCCTCACACACAGCACATAGGTAACAGAGCTGAGTCAGGTAAAAGTAAAGGCTTCAGCTGCACATGGGACTCTCTGCGTAACTCTGCTGGAGAGAAGATCCTGCAGCTCCGCAGTCATCCTCTGGGCATGCCCTCTGACTCCAACTTCTGCTCTCTGCTGAGTGACCTGTCAGCTGAGCAGCGCTTCGACGTTAGCTACCTGGATCTTGGTGAGCTCAAAAACAGTGAACACAAATAAATGACTCACTGGCAATTATGACAAAACTCATTAGGGTTCATCAGACTATGTTTGCTGATGGGGAAGCTTCTTAGTGGTTTCACAACAGCACACACTAAGACTTTAACAGCGTTCTAGTCAAATCTTAAATGATAACAGCGTACCACAAAAAAAAAGAAAAAGAAAGTCATGCGGTGTGGTTGCAGTTACTGTCATCAGAAATGGAGGAAGTAGCCTGCAGCTGCATGTTGCCACATTTTGTCAGGCTGACTTTTTTTTTATGTGGTGTATTTTTTATGATTTTTATGATTGTTTTAGTGATGTACTTACTCATGTGTAGACAGCACTTCACAAATGAACAAGAATTTGAAGCTGATAAATGAACGCGTAGCAGTTTTGATCACTAACTGTTGTCTGATCACACTGATGTTAGGAAATGCGACTGAACGATTTGCATAGGAGGCTCAGCCATGCCTCCAGCCACAATGAGGTCTTTAACATTGCTGAAGCAGCACTAAACACAAAGCAGACACTAAACTGTAACAGCTAAACAAAACAAAAACAACTTTTGTTAACTTCTCTGTTTCTTGTTTCAGAGGAACGCAGTCTGAGCGGCCTGTGTCAGTGTCTGGTAGAGCTTTCCACGCAGCCAATCACAGTGTGCCACGGCTTCGCACCGAGTATAGACGCCGCTCGGGCCAATGCGGCCCACAATGCACTGCAGTACCTCAAAATCATGGCTGGAGGGAAGTGATGTCATCTGCCTTCTCAAAGACCCAAACAAGCCCTGACACAGTGCCGGGATAAAATGTCCATAAAGGATGGAGGAGGCACTTTGTGGTCACTTCAAACAACAGGAATTACCTCAAATTTGGAAATCAAGACATTTTCTTCTGATCCAGATGAGCCCCCAGGAGCCATCTTTTTTTTTTGGATGTCTTAATGTTGCCAATGAAGATTTAGTTGCCCAAACACTCATGGACCCCTCTCCTTGACATTTATCATTTAATTATCATTCACTATTTTAAAATTCTTTTTTGGTTCTTGTCTGCCCAGCATTGGAAAGCAGCACTCTTTCTGAAAGTCTAACACTTAGAGAGCCTTTACCTTAACATAGAAGAGTCGCTCTTGTAGAGAATCCCCAAAGAATTGCTGAAAATTCTGATCCTACAAAAAGCTTAAACAAGTTGTAGAAATTGGACTACGGAATTTGCTTCTTATTGGTGCTTCGTTTTGCCCCGTTATCATGGATGGAAAAAAAGAGACCAAATTTCAAGCCACGCAAGGAACCAGGGAGAGAAAAAAGACTCTGCTGCACCCGTACCAGAGGATGATTATTTTAAAGGCTGCCCCACTTCCAGAAGAGCTTGTACAAGAATTGAAAATGTGGATTGTTTTGGACTTGAACCCTAAAAACTTTTTGTCTCCACGACGCTCTTGATGTTGGGCGTTAAAGATTTGAATTCTGGGATATTCATCCCTCTTGCTTTAACTCTCAGTGGTTAAAACTCAACATGTTGCCATTTGTCTGCCATTATGAACTGAAATAAGTTTTTCCAAATTTAAACATGGACCCTTACTAATCATGTTACTCCTTGGCATTCCAAAAGTTGAAAAGGAGTCACCGTTTGACTTAGATGGCTAATAATAACGTGAATTGTCACAGTAGGATGTAGTGTTGCCCCTTTTATGAACTTCCTGTGTAAATTTGTACAAGTTTAAAAATGTACAATCCATACGACAGAAAATCTTTTGACTTTGAGGATAGTTAAACATTCGGTTTGTCCCAATTTTGACGCCCCCTGTGGACAAAGCTGTAACTCTTATCTTTACTCATTTTGTCCCTTTTTGAAAAAATGCTTTTTAAATATCTCCCACGTTATTGAAACCTTTAAATGTATCACACAAAAATAATTGCTGTGGAAATAGTAAAAAAGAAAAGAAAAGCTATTTCTGCAGAGTACGGTTAACCACTCCGTCTGACTCCCCCCCCCCCCCCCCCCCCAGCAGTGTTTACAGGTATTAAGATCATCAAGAAATAATCAATCTTGTCCATTTTAGTCTGATTAGCTTGATGATTTGCAAACACAGGCATCATCTTTAACATTAGTGTGTTTTATAACCAGCCAAAAACTCCACACATGAGCTTATAAAAGACTCTACATTACAAATGCTTTTATTTTCTCAACTTTGGTCCCATCTGCCCCAAAATGTGCAAACAACATAGTGAAGTGTAATGACCACTGTTTGATCATTTGCAGTAGTGATGTATTACTTTAAACTTTAAACTCACTTTAGGTGTTTGACATCATAGACCAGAGAAACAAAACTACCTCATTTTCTTTAATGGAGTTCTAAAACTGAACGTTTCAGTGCTCCTTTTGTCCGATTTAGTTCCACTTGTGATTTAAGTCACTTTGATTTCTTTTTAGTCACTATTCCCAAAGTGAAATTTGAATATTGATGAGTGATTCTCTTCATCGTATTATCCCTCCTCCTCTTCTTAAGGATTCACCACCGTGTACTGTACTGTGTTTGCATTCATCTAAAAACCGTTTTAAAAATACTTTTCACTTGTTAAAAAGATAATGTCCTTTGCACACTGCAAGCTGACCGTGTTTCATTACTTTGACTCCCAATCCCACTGGTATCTCCTGGAACAGCACTGTGTGTTTCAAACCACCTAATTCTCTGAACTGGAAGATCTGCATTTTGTTCTTCACATTACTGTCAACGATGAACTGAACCTGTTTTTTTTTTTTGTGAGTTTCAGGTGCTAACTTTAATACTTTTAAACAAGAATTCTTTGTTGTGGTGATAGAAAATTTCTCCGTTTTTAGACGAACAATAAAGTAAAATGTGAAACTGACTTTGTGAAACTTTTTTGTGTGTTAATTTTACTGCCAGCTTTTGTTCAAATAACTTGAACGGGCTTAAATTTCATTTAAATGACAATTAAATTAAATATGTCCACAAAGTGCGTCATCAAGCCATTTTATTAACTTATTTTTATTATTATTTACAGTAGTCTATTCGATGTTAGACTGCAGGAGAAACAAAATGCTTGCAATAATTTAAAAATTCTTCAAAAAATCTTCTGTGAAGGGAAAAGTCTCCAACAGTATAAAGATGTCTTCTTTTTCTGGGCTGATAGGAGTTTTCTTTTTTGTTTGTTACATGGAGTTCAGGTTATCGATCATCCGCAGTGTGTTGGACGACAGGCTGACTTCTTCATCAGCATACCCGCTGCTGTCTGACTGCACACTGTCGCCCCGGACCACCTCACCTGCACAGGAACACAAACTCAGTCAGACTACAGCTCCGTAAACTGTACGACTCTGCACAAACGCAGCTGCAGCGTGACCCGATTAGGCAAACAGTCTTTTCCTTGTTACTTTCACACCTGCACAATGACCTGGATACACACACATGCTCACTTATTCATCCCTAAACTACTCCATTCCTCACATGTCATCACTGACCCCAAACCCAACCCCATTCAGTGAGCCCCACAACAAATATTCAAGTTCTGCAGGTTTTTTTTGTTTGTTTTTTCACTAAAAGACATTTCTGCGAATTACTTTGTGTCTTCTGGTTAGTTTCACACTTTTATTGACATGTTTACAGTCTCTAGAAGTGTTCAGACTGGCTGTTTATCAGGGTGCTCAGAAAATTGATGACTAATCCTGTTTAAAGAAGAAACAGCTGCTTGAATTTTCTTTTCAGAGGTTACAGTTCTTTAAAATGTCACTCAGCAGTGTAGCAAAGCTAAAGTTGTAGCTTCTGCTTTATTAAAAAAGTCATAAAATAAAGAGTGATTAAACCATGCTTTACCTTTGTTTTGCTGTTTTTTGGACAACAGGGAAGTTCCTGTTCTAGTAACTACTGATTGTCCAAAATCTTCCTCCCCTGCACTGTGTACCTATGGAGACAAAAGAACGGTGTGTTTACTGCTTTTACTGCTGTATAATTAAGAAACAATGACGTGCACAATCACTATTTTAACAATGTCTGTGTAGGTTCTCAGTCATCCAGGTCACGGTAAAATTCAAAGCTTGATCCAAAGGCAACTGGACTAAGTTAAAGATCTTGAAGACCTCTCCACAGAAAGGCCTCTCTAGTTCTAAACTAACTGGTAGACACACAGCCTCTGTGGATCATTATAAGATCAAGCATGGTCACATGAGAGTCGTTAGCTGAGTCACTGACCATGTTTGATCAAGCTTCAAACCATTAACAATAATATGATTGATTATAAACATCACAATAAACACTTGCACACAGTCACAGGGAGTTCTAATATTAAGTCCAATACTCTCACTTCATAGAATAAAAAACAAATGTATCTCAATTTTAGTCCATATCTAGTGTACACATTTACGTATTACTGTTATAAGTTCCCTATACTGTACCTCCTCCAGCTCAAAGGAGTTAACCTGTGGCAGGTTGTTGGAGACGAGCCCCCGGCACTGATGTGTCAGTGGATTCAGGTATTGACCTTTCTCCTCAATGAATGACTCCTCACAGGTCTGGACA